GCACCAGTCCTCACTGCTCCCACCAGCTTCCTGAACATCACGGTGCCCCCAGAGCCAGGCGCCACCTACAGGCCTGATGGGAGGTGGCCAGGAGCTACAGAAACACCCAGGCAGGGCCTCCGCCCCCAGAGACATGACCACCTAAGGTGGTCGACACCAAGGGGACACCCAAAGGCCAAAACCCAGGCAGACACTTGGTGGCCTATTGGAGGAGTGCCTTCCTCCAAGCTGCTCGTAAAGGGGGCTGGAGCGGGGTTTAAGGGGAAGCCAAGAGGGGTCCCTGGCCTGAGGGCTCTTGGGGAACGTGAGAGGACCCACGAGAGGGGAAACCAGGCAGCCAGGAGGAAAGTCTAGGAGTGATGGGAGAGGCCGAGGCACACACAGAAGTGGGGGCTGCAGCTGGAGGTTCCGGAAGTCCACTTGCCAAGAGAAGCAGGGTGTGGGGGCATCTGCACCCTCCAGCCCCAGTTGAAGGGCAACGCCTTTGAGTTTACCTGCTGTCTCCACAGACCCTACACAACTGCAGGATCCCGAGTGCAGCAGGGCAATGTGGGAGCACTAGGGCACCTCCGAGAGGGGAGACGCAGGGGCCGTACCTGGGTCCAGGGACCAGCAGGTGGCAGTCTTGTTGGGGAGGCAGACCTTGGCGGTGGAGTAGATCCTGCTCATGTTGCTTAGCAGGGCATTGTACTGGGGAGTCAGAGGGGAGGAATGTTCTGGTGACCAACCCCTGGGACATCTGCCCTCCCCTTGCTGCTAGAAGAAGGAGCCCACAGAGTGGATGTAGCTTGGACAAGGCCACTCAGTGGCACTGGGGCACTTCTGATCACTAACACACGAGTCCTCTGCCAGTGGAGGCAGCCTGTGGAGTCGGGGACAGGAGTCCTGAAAGTCAGGGTCAGGGTCAAGTCCCAGCTTGGTACCGCCCTGCAGTGAGGGCAGATTCCTCCCATTCTCTGGCTTTGGTGACTTCTCAGTCTTTCTTAACCTTTTCTCTCTCTCTCTTTTTTGGGATGGAGGTCTCACACTGTCACTCAGGCTGGGGTGCAGTAGTGCAATCACAGCTCACTGTAGCCTTGACCTCCTGGGTTCAGGTGATCCTTCCACCTCAGCCTCAATAGTAGATGGGACTGTAGGTGCACGCACCACCAAGCCCAGCTAATTTTTTGTATTATTATTATTATTTTTTTTGTAGAGATGAGGTTTTGCCATGTTGGCCAGGCTGGTCTTGAACTACTGGGCTCAAGCGATGCACCCACTTCAGTCTCCCAAAGCGCTGGGATTACAGGCGTGAGACACTGCGCCCAGCCCTTCTCAACCCTTCCAAGGAAGCTCATAAACCAGCCTAGGTAGAGGCGTATTTGATTTTGGCTTCCTACTCCAGAATGCTTCCTTTAACAGAAAGTAACACCCCACCCCATCTCCAAGAAAAATCAATGCTTCAGAAAGCCATTCTGTGCATACCTGGGCTTTCCCTTCTGCCAGGGCCCACGTGGACCCAGGGTCCTTCCTTCCCTGACGGGCTGCTCTCCCCCAACCCCCACGATGGGGCACTGGGAGGCCGCCCCCAAGCTCTCCCTCGGCCCTCAGCCCACCTGCTGCCGCTTAGCCAGGGGCAGGTTGGCAGAGCCCAGGGTGCCCACAGCTCCGATGATCTTGCGCAGCTCCGGGTCCGTGAAGTTCTGCCAGATCGGTTCATACAGCTCCTTGGCCTTCTGGCCCCAGGCCTCGGCAAATTCCTGGCTGAGCAGGGCTGCTTCCTCCTATGGGCACCAGGAGGGCAGGCAGGGTGTAGGCAGGACCCCGCTTAGATGCACGCCATAGAGGGGAAGCCACGGTGCTGGGGGAGGGGAGGAAGGCCAAGGGCTTCCAGAGCCCGAGCCCTGGGGAGATCCCTGCGGGAGACCTTAGTTTGCGGAAGCCGCGCTTCCTCCTTCTGGAAGGAATCTGCCTCATGGGAAAGGTGGAGCAGAAATTGGGACCACAAAAGAGGCCAGGCGAGTGGAGAGTGAATGGACAGTGCAGTGCGGTGACAGTGACAGCGTCTGGAGGTGAGCAGGCAGCGGCCCGAGAGCGCGGGGGCCACAGAGCGGAGTCCAGCACCCTCGGCAAAGGCGGGCGCGGCCTCGGAGCAGCCCGTCTCATCCATCCAATTCGTGCATGCTGGGAGCGGAGGCCGTGCGCGCAGCCTGGCGCTCGGGCCCCCAGCCTGCTGACTGTTGGGGCGAGGGTGGGGGGTCGGGGTGGGGTTCGGGCCCAGGGCGCCAGCCTGCCCGCCCCACAAGCCGGCCGCGCGCTGTGATTGGCCGCCGCGGCCCCGCCCCGCCCCCACCCGGGCCCGGGCGCCCACCTGGCGCCGTGCGTTCTCGGCGGTGATGTTGGTGTCATGCGCCCAGCTGGCGGCCACGCTCTGGAACAGCACCTGTTCGGCGCTCGAATTGTAGCTCTGCGCGAAGAGTTGCGCCCCGGCCTCGTCGGCGGAAAAGTTGCCGGGCTGCAGCCCGGGGTCCAGGGCCAGCGCGGGCTGCGGCGGTAGCAGCAGCAGCAGTAGCAGCAGCTGCAGCAGCGGCCCCGGCCCCCGGCGGCCCGAGGCGGCCCCCATGACGCGGTGCGCGGTGCTCGGCGCTGCCCCCTCTCCCGCGCCGCGGCCGCCCTGCGGGTTATAAAACCCAACACACCCCCGCCCCCGCCGCGCCGCGCTTCCTCCTCCGCTCCAAAGTCCCCCGCGACGCGGGCCGTGGTTCCTGGCCCGCCCCGGGCAGGGGCGCGGGCCGGGGAGGGGCCGAGGTGCAGTCCGAGGGTGGCGGGATGGGGCTGGGTCGGGCTCCCGCAGAGGAAGCTGGAGAAAGGGCCTCCTCTCTTTTGAAGATGGGGACCCGGCAGTTTGCCAGAACACCCGAACCTGCCCACCGTGCGGCCGCGCAGCCTCGGCTGGGGCCCGGGAGCCCAGCGGCCTCCGGCTGGATCTTCCCGGCCTGACCCCCCGGAGCTTCCCGCCTCCGGAGTGACAAGGCCGGGGCCCCAGGAGCTGTCCGCAGGCGCCGCTCGTGCGGCGGGGATGGGGCTGATGGGGCCTGGCCGGCTTCTTCACCAGGCCGTGGTCGAGGGGCGGGGACGTCGCCTGCCGGAGGTGGGGGTGTGGCGGGGGGAGAGGAGCGCGAGGGGGGACGGACCTTAGGTGTCCCCCAGACGCCTCCGGGAGGTGCTGGAAAGGCTCAGGGCGGCCGGCACACCTGGGGCTTGGGGCGGGGGGCTGCCAGGGAGAGAGAGCCGAGAGCCACGGAGCGCAGGAGCTTTGGAGCGCCTGCCCTCTTTTCCCCGGGGACACAGGCTGCCAGTCAGTCGCTCAGCAGAAAACAGCACACACGATCCCAACAGAATCCTAGAACCCGAGGCTGGCAGGCTTTGAGAGCGACACAAAGCCTCAGAGATAAGAACAACCCCCTCATTTTACAGATGAAGAAATTGCCAGTCAGGTTGAGAGGCTTGCTCCAAGTCACCTCAGGTCTCCACATTCCCCTGTCTTTTCCTGTCTCATCCACGTGTCCCTCAAAGTGACAAGTGTGGGGGAGGGAGGACAGTGTTGTCCTACCGGCGCACAGGGCGGTTGTGGAGGCCTCCTCTGCCCCATGGCGCCTGCCGAGAGGCGGGAGGCACCTTGACTCTGGCAGAGGCCCTGCGGCGCAGTGGGAGGTGGGGCAATGGAGGAACCGCGGGGTGAAGCTGAGCGGTGGGATCAGGGAAGGAGCCAAGGACAGCTGCTCCCAAGACCCTAACCCATTAGGCTGCTGGGGCTGTTGGGAATCACTTGGGCTTCTGGGTGAGTGGGGGATGGTGTCTGTGGCCCTGAGGGACGCGTGCGCCTTCCCGTGCAGTGTGGAGTGCGTGCAGGAGGCTGCGACCCGGTGTACCCCTGTGAGGTGCACCTCCAGTGAGCTCGCACTGTCTTGTCAGATGACGTGGTGCCAGGGGAGAGGGGACGGTGGGGAGAGGAAGAAGGTGGCTGTCCCTAGCCCTGGAGGGAGAAGGCAGGGCCTTGTTAAACGCTGGCCAGGAGAGGAGAGCTGGGGTCAGGCCTGGCCCTGGCCCACTTTGCCAGCCTCCCTCCCGACCTGCAGTTTTCCCTCACAACTCCTCCCTGCCCAGTTTGGCTTGGAGAACCAGAGGATACCAGGGGACGTGGGTGCACTTCAGGGCCGGCTACGTGGGTGGACATTTGTGATCAGAGCAGCCCCATGGAGGGCCAGGGGCCAGGGGAGGGCAAGGTGGTGACCTGGGCTCTCCTCCCAGGAGCCACCCTGCTCTCAGGGGTCCTAACAGCTTGGTCTTCCAGGCTTTGAGGGCCGTGGGTGTCTGTGTGCAAATGAGCTGCTGTCTTCTGGGAGGAAGCAGTCTCTTTGTGGACAGAGGCTTGAGTAGGGGAGAGAGGAGAGTAGGGGAGAGAGGAGAGTGGGGCTCTGTCAGCTTTTGAAGGAGGGGTCCAAGGGAGGGGAGATGAGTAGAGAGGAGAGGAGCCTGAGGCCTAACCTGTATCCGGAACCCCTCAGCCAGAGGCCGACCTTGCCTCCGAAGAGCTCCTGAGAACCCTGTTCAGGAGGATGGAGGGCAGGCATTGCTTCTGCTGATTCATTCTCCGGTCTGACTGCAAGGCATTTCCACAGTGTCTGTAGACCCTGGGTTAGGGGCTGTGCCAGCAATAAACAGCCTCCACCTCCACTTCCAACAGGGTTGGAAGATAATCGAAGTCTTCTCCTGGACCTGGAGCAGCTGACACCAGGGCTGACACCTTCAGCTCCCTCACTGTAAAGCTTTATTAGAACGGCTTGTTAAATCCCCCAGCTTCTTCACTCAATTGTATGTTCCTCGAGGGCAGGGATGGTGTGTGCCTTATTCTCGGCGGTTTTCCCAGAGTTTAGCATGGTGCCTGGCACAGGGCACAACCTCATCCAAGGAAGGGTGCAGAGGAAAGAGGAAATGACCCACAGTCATATTCACACTCCGGGATGAGCGCACACCCTTTTGCGGGAAGAAGATAAGAAAAGCCAGTCTTCGTTAATTTGGAATTTGCAATAATGCAGACACTGCAACCTTGAGCCCAATGAGTAAAAATTAAAAATATCTTCTATTTTTAGGGTCTTATTCATGAAGGAGAAGTATAAATAGAAATATATAGCTTGCATTTGTATAGTGCTTTAGTACTAAATTCTTGTGTATAAACAATCTAATTTGGTATTTACAATAACCTTGAGAGGTAGGAAAGAGATAAGGCTGTCTGGGCAGTCAGCCACCTCCTGGGCTGCCGTGACAACAAAAGAGAAGGCCCAAATCCTGCAGGAGGATGTCATTATGAAGAAGCAGGTGCAGAGAGCCACAGAGACCTGACCCACGCAAGGTAACTCAGTTGGCTTGGGAATCTTTTCATCTCTCTTCCAGGAGGTACAGGTCACCAGTTACCACAGGAGAGAAAAACAGCCCTTAAAAAATATGCTCAACAATGGAATAGAACTGAGAGTTCAGAAATGAACCTGTACAATTATGTTTGATTGGTTGTGACAAGAATACTAAGACAATTAAATGGAGAAGAAAATATTTTTAACAAACGGTGCTGGGGCAACTGGATTTCCACATATAAAAGAATGAAATTGGACCCTTTTCTAATACCATATACAAAATTTGGGGCTAGGTACAGTGGCTTATGCCTATAATCCTGGCACTTTGGGAAGCCGAGGTGGGCGGATTGCTGGAGCTTAGGAGTTCGAGACCAGCCTGGGCAATATGGTGAAACTCCATCTCTACAAAAAAATTAGCTGGGCATGGTGGCGCACGTCTGTAGTACCAGCTACTTGGGAGGCTGAGGTGGGAGGATCGCTTGAGCCCAAGAGGTTGAGGCTGCAGTGAGCCATGATCGTGCCTCTGCACTCCAGCCTGGGTGACAGAGTAAGACCCTGTCTCAAAAAAAAAAAAAAAAAAAAAAAAAAAAAAAAAAAAAAAAGTCAACTAAAAATAGACCTTGATGTAAGAACTAAAACCATAAAACTTTTAGAAGAAAACGTAGGTAACAAATTTTTGTAACCTTGGATTAGTCAATGGTTTCTTAGATATGACACCAAAAGCGTAAGTGATGAAAGAAAAAACAGATAAATTGGTCTTCATCAAAATTTAAAACTTTTGTGCTTCAATGGACACCATCAAGAAAATGAAAAGACAGCCAGGCACCGTGGCTCACGCCTATAATCCCAACACTTTGGGATGCCGAGATAAACAATCTAATTTGGTATTTACAATAACCTTGTCCTACCAAGATCCCTTGCCCCTTTTTTTTTTTTTTTTTTTGAGACGGAGTCTCACTCTGTTTCCCAGGGTGGAGTGCAGTGGCACAATCTCAGCTCACTGCAACCTCTGCCTCCCGGGTCACGCCATTCTCCTGCCTCAGCCTCCCGAGTAGCTGGGACTACAGGCGCCCGCCACCACATCCAGCTAATTTTTTGTATTTTAGTAGAGCAGGGTTTCACCATGTTGCCCAGGCTGTTCTTGAACTCCTGAACTCAGGAAATCCCCCACCTCGCCTCCCAAAGTGCTAAGATTACAGGCATGAGCCCCGTGCCTAGCCCCTTGCCCATTTTTAATTGGAGTTACTTGTATTTTTATTATTGAGTTGTGAGAGTTCTTTTTTAGAAATAAGTTGTGGTTTTTTTAAGAGCTGGGCTCACTATGTTGTCCAGGGTGGAGTGTAGTGCCTGTTTCCAGGCACAGTCAGGGCACACTACAGCCTCAAACTCCCGGACTTAAGCAATCCTGCCTCAGCTTCTAAGTAGCTGGGATCACCGGTATGCACCCACTGTGCCAGCTATGAGTTTTTTATATATTCTGAACACGATCTCTAACATACAGTCAGTCCTCCCTTATCTAAAGTTTCACC